TGTATCGGTATCGGCAGTTGTGTATCGGAATCGGATCGGAACTGAAAAAACGTGGATCGCCCATCTCTAATTTTTTCCAGATATGTCCTTGGATCAAATCAACAAGCAGAAAATAAGTGTTGTTCTGCATGTTCTTTTTGTTTTTCAGATTTGGATAGTCACTTTTGTGCATTTATTGTTCTCCAGTTCATGTTTTGCTCCATCCAGTGAAATCAGACATATCATTACAGATGATGACAAAATAATCTCTCTGTTGGTAAGACCATTTCCCCCCAGTGGGATTAGCCGTATGCAATTATTTAATGTTTATTTTTATGAATGGATGTTTCTTTGGCTATATTAAGGATGTTAATTTTCTGAGTTAAAGAGAAACCTCTTCCTCGCAGAAGCAGAATATTCCCAAAGATTACAGGATGGCTGTCTGTTTCATCCCCAAGGAATTGGTAGGCTGCTCTTCTGCCCCGTAAACATGAATGCTAACTCAGCATTGTCTATTTGCCCCAATGTCTATGAGTTGACAGATCTTTAAACAAACTTGGCTTCATAGGTGATGTGACACTCTCCTAACTCTCAGTCCCTCTCTCTGATCTGACCTTGTTAGAGCCACATGTGTTGGGTTCAACTCAATGTATATCACTTGGAGGGAAGCTTAAAAGTTTTGCAGGACAAGTTTGGGGACATTTCATCCAACAGGGACAATCTCAGCATTGTTATCCGAAGACTACAAGACATGCGGGTTAAAATTGAATACCTGGTAAGTCACGATTACTTTATTAGCTGTCTTGTTTTTACTCATCAGAATCGTTCAATTTAAAGAAGCATTAATTAATGAAGCATTTAAAATTTACTTCAGAATTATTGGCACCCTTCATGAACATGAACTATATATAAATAATATATAAAATGAACCATACATGTAATGAGTGATATTTTGGGCTTAAACAAATAGGCAAGCATCACGCTTTTCCCGCCATAAATTTCAGTTTATTTCTCCCATGGCGAGAATGACAGCACTCAGGCGGATGCTGTAGTGTTTTGAGAATACTTGGAGATCTTGGACCGCTCTTCCAAGCATTTCCAACAACACATTGAGATTCTAAGATTTTCTCTATTGAACTGCCCCTTCATTTGAGATCAGATATTCATTTGGGTTCATGTATGGAGACTTTGTGTTGCTGCAATCATTTCTGTGTCAATTTTGACATGTCCTTTGGGTCTTGGAAGACCCAACCACATCCTAGTGTCAGCCTTCTGGTAGAGGCAACCAGATTCTGGGATAAAAAGTTTTGGTATTTAATGGAATTCATTATGGTACTGACCATAACAAGAGCCCCTGTACCACTGGCAGCAAAACAGCCACAAAGCATCACAGAGCCACCATCATATTTTACTATGGGTATGAAGTAGAGATATGCTGCCTCGCATCAGCGATTGCCATGAAAAAAAGTGCACCGGCTACAATTTGGCAACTTAGGATACATTGTTTCTAATATCTTTGCATCGGTATAATCCAATTTATTGACGCTGAATAGTGAGTTAAATCATTAATAAATGATTTAATGTTAATTAATGTTAATATTAAACATTAATTAATGTTTAATATTAATGTTTAACTCATTAATAAAAAGTAAAACTGTGTTATAACTTTTTTTAAATTGTCTTAAAAATGTACAAAGTATTGCAACCTAATTAATAACCAGATTATAAACCATTCATAAACCCTTTATATGGGTAACCTTATTGTAAAGTGGCACCCTTTTTCAAGTGCACGCTCTCATTTTCGGTTCTCCACTAAAGTCAGTAGCCAATTGTCTGCAAGTCTCTCAGCCAAGTCTAGCGTAAGTTTGAGGTATGTGCGCCGATGCATTGTATTGTCAAATCGCACTGCATTGCAAAAGGGGTGAATTGTATCATATCTCAATAGTATTCGCTTTATACATTTCTTTATTACACGGCTCTCTGGAATGCTTGATTCTGATTGGTCAGTTGAGACATTTGCAGGTTCGTTCTTTTCAAACAATAACCACTCCAAAGTAATAACGCATAGCCGGTACTACTTGTATGTTTAAAATCAGTCCGCGCCAACAAAGATTATCGTTTAAAAATGTTAATTTAAAACAAATATGTCAATAAAATGTTTCAAATTCATATTCATGTCCAGTTTTTTTCCTTATGTGGCAAGTAGCCGTGTAATAAGCGGGATAATGTACAGGCAGCCGGTAGTTATCGCAAAATAAGCCTCTTCAGTGTGATACAAGACGCTCCGCTTCGCGTCGGGTCCTGATCACACTGTCGGGGCTTATTTCTGCGATAACTAATGGCTGCCTGTACATTATCCCTTACTTAATATATTGAATCGTTGGCACTGCATCACAATGTGTATCACATCGCCTCAGTGATGGAGATGCACATCCCTAGGTGAGGTGCTGTTCTTTCTATGCAATTCGCTTATTTTGCCAAACATAACGATGGTGTGCGTGGCCAAAAAGCTCAATTTTTTGCCTCATCTGACCATAACACACGATTCCAGCTCTAACTTCCATGTTGCTTGGCAAAGTTCAGATAGTGGGATTTGTGAATTGAAGTCACGAAAGGGCTCCTTTCGTGGAACTTGTCAAAAAAGCTTCTGGTCATAGAGGTGGAGTCTCACTGTTGATTTTAATATGGTGAAATGAAAGATTCAGCCAAACTTTGCGGTTGTGAAGCTGTGATCTTTGGGCTCCTCCTTGCCTTCTTCTCACTGCGCGGGGGGTAGCAACATGTGGATGTGCCCCCCCTCTGGCAAATTTTCAGTGGTTCCATGTTCTTCAAACTTATTTCCTGTGACCCTGATTGTGTTCACTGGTAATTCTAACTAAATGCCGCCCTTTTTCAAAAAGCGCTTGTCCAATTCAGGGTCACAGGGGTCTGGAGCCTGTCCTGGAGACTACTGGCTCAAGGCAGGGAACAACCCGGGATGGGGCACCAACCCATCACAGGGCACAACCCAGGATGGGGCACCAACCCATCACAGGGCACACTTACACACCATTCACTCACACATGCAAGGCAGGGAAGAACCCGGGATGGGGCACCAACCCATCACAGGGCACAAAGCAGGGAACAACCCAGGATGGGGCACCAACCCATCACAGGGCACACTCACAGCTACAGGCACAAGGCAGGGAACAACCCAGGATGGGGCACCCACCCATCACAGGGCACACTTACACACCATTCACTCACACATGTACCCTGATGGCCAGTTTCATAACTGCAGTTAACCTTAGAATGTTCTTAGACTGTGGGGGGAAACCAAAACACTCTGAGCAATCCCCACAAAGACACGGGAAGAACATGCAAATTTCACACACATGGAGCCATGGTGGAGACTCAAACCCTGGTCCTAGAGGTATAAAGCAACAGTGCTAACCACTATGTGCAGCACAACTGCTTTTCTTCTTATTTGAGTTGAGAGCTCTTTGGATTGACCAGTGTAGACAGATTACAAAAGGATTTTACCTGTGTTGCTTCATATTTATACCCCAGTGAAACATAAAATGGTCATAGACAATAATAAAGATCCCAGAGACTAAAAGTAATATCAAGACACATTTTTTTCCCCAAAGATGCAAATTTCTTTGTTTTTCCCCCATGATTTTTGCCATGTTTTATTTATTTATTTATTTATTTTCAGAATAAACAATTTCAAAGATAAAACACTTTTTCAATAATTATTTATTAAATGAATAGTTAGTGATTTCTTTTGAGGAAAATCATTGTATATATTATACATATGTTAATATTTTTGCTAATTTTATTAAGGGGGGGGGCAATATTTCTGGAGTTGACTACATTATTTCTGCTTTTGGCCAACAGGAGTCAATGATGCAAGACTTCGCCTGCCATTACAGAGAAGAATCTTGGGTGGCAGAGCATTATTTTGACTTTGTTCAAGACTTATTAAAATCTAACACTTATGAAATGAAATCTGAAGACTGTGAATCGCCCCCCTGTCCCCCATCAACCCCTCCCACCACTCCAACAGGTGAATATTTACATTGTTTCTTTTTAATTAAGCAGATACATTTATCCTAGTCAACATACTAACGAGAGAGCAGAATCAGCCAGTCCCTGGGGCCCTTGGGGGCTTCCGCCCTGCTCAGGGGCCCAACAGTGCAGAATCAGCCAGTCCCCGGGGCCCTTGGGGGCTTCGGGCCCTGCTCAGGGGCCCAACAGTGCAGAATCAGCCAGTCTCCGGGGCCCTTGGAGGCTTTGGGCCCTGCTCAGGGGCCCAACAGTGGCATCATTCTGCTCTTCCTGGGTTTCAGCTGGTGCAGCATCATTACCCACTGAGCCATACACCTTCCCCATATGAATGTGCCATAGTCACACCAAAATAATAAGTCTTCCTTACAGCTGAAGAAAACAGATAAGTTTTGGCCAATATTAAGTTTCAGGGCAGTATTTTGATCCTGAATAGTGTCAGTATATCAAACCAGGCTCTGGTTTGACTTCATCATTCATATGTAATTTCTGTATGTGAATATTTGGTCTTCTGTCTACAGGATCTCCTGAGCAGGATCCAAATAAGATCAGCTGTAATGTTTCAACGACAGACTGTGATAAGCGTAAGGACATTCCGGCTTTTAAGGGTGTTCAGTTTCGGAGCATCATGAAAGATGGCCTGTTGGTAGCCAAGTCTGATTAAAAGAAAAGTCTTGATGAAGATGTTATGATATGGAAAATAGAGAAGGATCTTTTGCACAGCGGGTGAAACTAAGCTTTTTAAACTATGTGCTGGAATACAGAAAACATGTTGTATTTTGTTATTTTTATTAAGTATTTACTGAATGGTGTGTTAATATTTTGTTCCCTGCTTACGCACAGAAGCACAGGCTCAGCATATATCAGAAGTAGTTGGAAAAAGTCTCCTAATCTTACTACTAATTCCTACAGCTGCTCTCATATTTTTCATATATTGGAAGGTAGGACATTTTTAAAAGAAAATAAGTTGATTAAAAAAACTTTCTGCAGAGTCCAGAGAATTTCAGATCAGCTCCTGTTTTTTCCCTATGGGTTAAGCTGGTTCTTCTTCTTTTGGTTTCGCAGATCAAACACAGAAAAGAGGAACCTCCAAAGAGGCCGGCTGAGCACGAGAAGCTGTTTGATACCATCCTGCAAGCAGCTACGCCACCAGTAGACCAAGAATGCTAGACTGCAATACAAGTAACCAGCATCTTTTATCTCCATCTGATTCATATCTGCAGAATTCATATCAGTTGAAAAATGAATATGTAACTAAAATAAAATGATAAAATTATTATTTTTTTGATATTTTTTTGATCTTTTCAAGAATTATGTAAGAAAGATGTTTCTCATACATATTCTAAATGACTGCATGACTAATTGTAATTAAATTAGATTATTAATGTAGAGGTGTTAAGAACAACATCAAACTTATTCAGCTCTTTTTATAATAGGTAAGAAACATTCAGCCTTTCATGCTTGACACAGTACAACAATTTCACATGGCAGGAATCATTACTTTCTTGCCACTCTGTGTACTTTGGCTACTGCTGATTTGGTATCTTTTTTTATTCAGTACAGATAATAAGAGAATCATCTCCATAGTTTGAAATAATAATATTAAACAATTAAAAAGCAACTGTTTCTTTCTGTCTTTGCTTCTCAGGTGGCTGTAGTAAAAATCATATCTCTGCCATAAAGGACTCACTTTGCCTCCTTATACAAGAGGGCACATTCATGGCAGTGCATCTACATCTGACCTCAGGATTGATACTGACATTGAAAAGGAGCTGTTTGTAGACACGGAAGTCCCAGAAAGCTGGAAAGAGGCCTCATCTATAACTCCAGCAAGGAAAGACCAGAATGTGCTAAGAAGATCTGGGACAGATTTTTAAAAGGGAACAATTAATGAACTCACATCAAAAGCCAGGATGTAATTGTGATGTCACAATGGAGAGATGCTATGCTGGTGGCTGTCACCATTGTCAGCCGTCAGTGTTTTGGTGCATGGTGGTTGAATGCGTAGGGCGTTTTTCAGTGAACACAGTGGTCCAAAATGTTCCTTTCTGTTGCAATCTGAAATATTTCCTTTATTCCTCTGAGCCCCCAACAGTCAGAGCTGAACATATAGACTATTCTCAACTGTCACAAAATAATGTACTTCTTGATAAATCTTTCTATTATACTTAAGTTTTAAAAAAGGGTTCTCATGAAATTTCGGTAACACTTAAAGCAGTCATCATAATGCATTATAGATACCTTTATAATGCATTATAAAACATTCATAAAGAATTATAAACAAGACTATAACTGATTATGAAAAGGCATAACATGTTATAGACATGTTTATCATGCATTATGAATGCTCTATGAAGCTCTCATCTGTAATGCACTATAGATGCCTTCATAATGCATAGTAATGGTCAGTATAATCCATTATAATGCATTATGAAGGTATCTATACTGCATTATACACTCACCTAAAGGATTATTAGGAACACCATACTAATACGGTGTTTGACCCCCTTTCGCCTTCAGAACTGCCTTAATTCTACGTGGC